GCTATCCAAAGTGGGAATTCCCCAGACAGGGATTCTTACCTTTCACATCCTTCAGTCTTAACAGGGCTGAGCCATCCAGAGGTAACCTGTGTAGGGACAATCTGTCCCTGTAGGGTGGTCTGATTACTGGCATCACATAAACCATAACAACTCTCCCAGTTTCTCAGTCAAGCCTAACTGATTCTAGCTAAAACACCACTTAGATGGTCATAAGCATAATAAATACCTTTAGTGATGTAATTTATTATCATCTTCATCACTAGAAGACTTTGCAGTATCAATTTTACAACAAATCAGGATTATTATCATAGTTGTTTTGGAGAAAACATCTGCCTTTAAGCAAAGGTACAGTCACAATTCTGAGGTGGTTTAACTTCAAGGGAAAAGAGGGATTCAGTCCAAACAGTCAGGCGGAGCTAAACCCCTTTCATATCTCTCCTTCTTACCTCTGACTCCTAAAAAATCATCACCTGAGCACTCCTGTCTCAGTGTCCCTTTTAACAATGCACCTCCAGCGAAAGTTAGACCTCTGTGGGATAAATTCATCCCAGATTTCACACAGTGAAATTGTTCTGGGGTCAGGTTTGTTTTAATGAGCCTGTATTGGTCTTGTTGCCAAAGTCTTTGCAAATCCTGGCTTCCTACTATGCTCCTCAGGGGTGATTTATATCAGGCTGAAAAAGACCACCTGATTAATTCTGTCCAGATGTATTTGTACAGGACCACAGGTTGAAGTATGCACTCTTGTAAATTTGAAGCATTTCTGGTATATTTTCTTCTACTGTTCTCTGTCTATTAAATGAAAAATATTTCCAGTGAAGCTGGAACTTGTCATAAAGACAGCATTATTTAGTCACAGTCAGGAAAGGAATACAGGTAAATGCTCCAAGGATACCACATTTGACTGAAAAGCTGATGATCTCGAGTCACCCTCTTCTAGGAAAGCTTCTCTTATGGTTTCCACAAACAGATTGCATAAACAAAGTCCAGGGGCATTACTCCCTAGGTCAAGCTGGAAATCAAAATATAATTTGTTGGCAAAGAAACTTGCAATTATTCATTTCTGTTGCAGGACAAAGATCTGCTCAAAACATAAGAAAAAATGGAAGAAAAACACAGCTTTTGTTGGTTTAGTGCTGGAGAAGTACAGTACCAAATATGATCCCATAAAATCAGTAAGGTTTCTTCTATAGCAGAATTATGAAGGATTCCATAGCACACAGAAAAGATGGGGTGGATGAAATACCTCTAAAACATGAAATATTGGCTTGCAGTGATGAAAAAAAAAAAAAAAAAAAGCATTTAGGCTATTTGAAGGGAATTTTGTGAGCTTTAGAGCAGACCTAACCAGAAGATATCATTTGACTGTGCAAGCTCCAAGTCGATTCCAGGCTCAGTACTGCTCTCTGGAATGCATTGACTGATAGCAATAGCTGAGGAAGCATTAGATAACAGAATGGTGAGAGATATTTGAAATTGGTTGTCTGGCTGTGCTCCTTGGAAAGAACCAGCAACAACACATGCCAATTACAGTAGCAACAATCTCCCCAGTGTCTTGACCTTCCTCAGCAGAGCAGTTTTAGAAGCAGAACACCTCTGGAAGTGGATCATTTGGAAAATCTATAAGTCTGTGATGCACTTGAATCCTACAAATTCACTGAGGACTGTGGTATCAGGGAAGAGACTCAGTGAGTGCTCGTCCCATCCTATGACATCCTGTCAGTGGGTGCGCACAGCGGGAGCTGTGGAATCTCAATTCCGCGCTCATTCACAGCCCGGGGAGAAATATTGTCACCTCCATGCCTCTTGGATTGCAGAAGCAGCTGGGAAGCAGAGCGGTCCCTGACATATGGTGGAGTAACCTCTCCTTCTTAGGCAGGTTTTTTAACTTGTGCTGTGCTGATAAGGCTCTTTATAGAACAAGCTCGTGCTCGAGTAACTGCGTATCGCAGTGTCCTGTGTCTTCACTTCTGCCCTCCCTCATTCTCCTGAAGTAAGAGAAAAGGCTGGACTGCTCTGCTGGCTCTCTGCCATGGGTAAAATAATTTTCTTTTCTCTGTCACTTCTGGGATGACTGGCAGGAACCACAGCAGAAACCAGAAACCGGCGGCATTAGCACTGACATCTCCAGCCCTGCCTGCCTTACTGCCCTCACAGTATTTGCAGCCTCTGTAATTCTCCCACCTCTGACTTCAGAGAAAAGGGGGGAAGACTGACAGATCTCTTCACAAAAGTAATATTAGATCACACTCGTGTAATCTCAACTTCAAAATCTGCAGGAGGTCCCAAAGACAGCCCAAAGGAAGCAGAAAGTCTTCAGTGTTTCTGTGGTATTTCCCTCTTCCTGCAGTGACTCGTAAAACCAAAGCCTTCACCATGATATTCCAAAGATATTCCATAATTGAGAAAATGTCTCTTCATCCTAAACACCTCCAGTTTATCACATTTTGAGCCTCACTCAGCCTTGAGTGACTCACCTGTATAATGCTTCCTTTGATTTCCACCACAAGGTAGCCTGCTATGACCAACTTTGACTCATGGGTGGGTTCTTGCCCTATTTCCTCAGCATTTTTTGTGGCCATCTTCCTTAGTTTCTTTTCAGTTGGTTTCAATGATGTCGTTATCCAATATGGTACAAGCCCTCTGTTGCCTCTTTGGTGTGTTCCAGGATCTCTGAATATTTGACTTTTAATTATAGCTAATTTGATTCTTCCAAAACACATTCACTTCAACTTCATTATTGCCGAAATCTGGACTTCTCCTTCTGCAGAAATTGCACTGGGACATTGAAAAGTGCAGTGGAAATAAATGATCCATTACAACAGGTGAAAATGCTTTTGCAATTGTGTACTGTTTGGTTAGGAGGTCTTTTTGTTCTATAAGACTTTCCTCCTGGGTTTTTGGGTGTTTTTCCCATCCTCATAAAAGCAGAAAATCTGACTCTCCCAGGTTTCCTTGTTGCAGGAAGCAGGTCCAGCATTGGAAGTGAAAGTGGGATTTACCCTACAATACATTTGTTCTGCAAACATATCTTCTTTTCCTGCAAATGCATTTGTAGGAACATGCAAAGGCATGTGTCTTTCTATTGAACTTTGATAAAACATGCCAATAAATGATAAAGTTCAGTGACACAGACAGGAACTGAAATTAAAATAATGTGTCGCAACTCTTGTATTTTGAATTCAGTGCTCATTTACTAGCTCATTTATCTCTAACTAAAAATAAGTTATCTTCAATTTCTAGGTAAAAATAAGTTACCTGAATCTGAGTAAATCATCTAGGTTTGTTTTTTGGCTTTTTTTTTTTTTTCTTTACGGAGGCAAGAAGAAATGAGCACTTCCAGGTATATTCAACCCATATCTCTTCAGCAGCTGTGATAGGATTGGCACCATTCAGTCTAGTTAAGTGTTTGCAGACACTTACCTCTGTCAGGGACTACTGGGGAACTTGGACAAATCATTTAGGTTGGAACCTTCCCATAACAAGAGAGGCCATTCCAAAAAATTAGTTAAGTGCTTAACTGTTAAGTGCATTTTTGTTTTAATTTGATTAGACACAAACCCTTTAACTTCAGCCCACGCAACATCAGCAACAGCCGCAATGAAAATAATTTTTAAAGGTTCTCCATCAATTGTTGGGAAATTCTCCTTTACAGCCAGCTTTTTCATTGATTTGAAATATCATTTAGTGCAAGGGATTTGTGCTTTCTGCCTCAATTTTTGATCCTCACAGAGATGAATGAACAAGTTCCAAGCATCAATTCCTTACTGCTTGAAAGAAGCCTGAACTTCTTGATGAAGAAAATACTCGCAATTATTATTATTGTTCCCACTGGAGTATAGCAGAAGCAGTGGTCATAAAACAGCTTCTATTCACTGAGATGCACAGAAAAATTGAGCTAAAGAAGCCCTTCAGATTAATTTCAGACTATAACCTCTGCGTGTGTGGTGGGTGCTCAGTACCTTGAAGAATGCCAGGATGAGTTACATGCACAACTGCTGTGGGGCCCAGGGTTGCAGGGCAGGAACTGCCTTTGTAGCAGCCATGTAATAACATTGCAGAGGAAAAAAAGAATTAGGGACTTGCATGCCTTAGTATTATTTACTGGGCTTATAATACTGTGAACTTCCGTGATGTAAGGAAGACCAGAATTGGTAGGAAAGCCCACACATTATTTGGGGGATGCAGCAGGAGACACCTGAATGAAAAGTAGTTTTAATACTTATTAATTATTCAGCAATCATGCAGGGAAAAACTAGGGTCTTTTCTGGGTGTTTCAAGCTGATCACCAAAAAATGCCCAAAGCTAATCAAAAGCAGTAGCTGCTTTTGAAGTGATTGATGAGATTCAATCCCTTGCTCCCAGTGAGTTTGTTATGCGAGACCCTGATCATCCGAACGTGGACTGACCGATGTCGTTAACTCCAGTTAAATACACCTGAAGTTGCACATGAAAATAAGTGCAAGATTTCATCCTACAAGCCTCTGTATTTTTGTGTTGTTTGTCTACATGCTCATCTTCACTGAGCTAAGATTGCTTCTGAAGATAAGTTTTTTGTGGGAGTGTTTGCAGGACGGAGATGCACGTGCAAAGCGAACAAGCAAAATATAAAACCAGTATGTGGAAGCTGACCGAAGCTTGGTGCTTCAGAGAAAATGGTCGGGAGGTGGGATTATGTCTTGTTGAATTGTCATTTAATGTCCTGGGGGGGGGGGGGGGGGGGGGGGAATTTTTTTTTGAAATTTCCTTATGAAATTACCAATTTTCTTTTTGGGAATCTGAGAAAATTCCTTCAATGATCACTTTGGATGTACAACAGAAGAGTCGGCAGCAATCGCTTTAAATAAGCCTGAGATACACATATGGTGGAAAACCCCCAATTTGTGTGTCTTCTTCTTTCAGGGGCACTCGCTGAGCGAGCTCCCTGGGAGGAGCCCACGTGGAAAAAAAATCCATGCGCAGAGCAGAAGAAAATTTCTGTTTGAAGCTTAAATCGGGCGATGCAGTTTTACTTCACCCAGGATTCCCCCCCAAGTCTCTTTGTAAGAAGTGAGGACAAACAGGAGCTGGAGAGCGCCCCCAGAGCGGCTCCCCCGAGGCGAGGCAGCCGCATCCCAGGGGCCAGGCTCCATCTAGTGACACGGCCGGGCATGGCCAGGCGGGGATCCAGCCGGGAGCCGCGCCGGGACACCCAGAGCCGCCGGTACCTGGCCGGACCGGGCTCTGCAGGGCCGGGCCGGGCTGTACCAGCGCCGTGTGCGTCCTGGAACCGGGAGCGCTCCTCCAGCGTTCGGCCCCTATCGAAGAGGCGAGCTCAAGTTTAGGCAGGAACTCTTTTGATTTCTGAAAAAGGAAACGAAATACAGGACGGGCAAGGCCGAAGGCAGGGGCTGAGCCGCGGCGGGGAGCGGGGCAGCCTCCTGCCACTGGGTGGGCTGGGTACACACACGCCCACCCCCGGTCCCCGTCCCGGCAGCACATCGGGGCTGCGGGACGTGCAGTGCCCGGGAGCGCGGCCGGAGCCTCGCAGGAGCAGAGAGCTCGGAGATGCAGATGCGGAGGAAGCGACTTTAGGGTGTCACCCGCTTAATATTTTCGGGGGGAGTGACCGATCCGGCTATGAAATGGGCTCCGTATCGGATGCGGCCGGATCGATGGAGCTGATAACGGCGAGCTATAAAAGGCCGGGGGGCGGCTGCGGCCGCGCTACAGCCCCGAGGCGCCGCGCCGGGATGGGGCTGCGCCCCGCCGCGCTGGCGCTGCTCGCTCTGGCGGCCGCCGCCGCCTCCGCGCTGCCGCTGCCGCTGCCCGACGCCGGCCCGCACCTCAACTACGGCTGGGGAGAGCCCATCCGGCTGCGGCACCTCTACACCGCCAGCAAGCACGGGCTCTTCAGCTGCTTCCTGCGTATCGGCGCCGACGGCCGGGTGGACGCGGCCGGCAGCCAGAGCCCGCAGAGTGAGTGGCGGCGGCGGGGATGGGGATGGGGATGGAGACAGGGCCGGGGCCGCGGGGGTGACACTGCTGTCCCCGCTCTCTGTCTGCCCGCAGGTCTGCTGGAGATCCGGGCCGTGGCCGTGCGCACCGTGGCCATCAAGGGCGTGCAGAGCTCCCGGTACCTGTGCATGGACGAGGCGGGGCGGCTGCACGGGCAGGTGAGCATCCGCTCTGCTGTCCCCGCGGGGATTTTCCGCTCTGGAACAGCGTCGTGTTCTAAGAATGGGGTAACAAAGCTTCCAGGTGTCCGCCACTGTCCCTCCCCCACCTCCCCTGCCTATTCTCCCTAGGACCTGCGGTTCTCGTCATGTCACTGCCCGAAAGGCTGTGGGGATTGTTAGAAGGCAGAAAGGAAACGTCGTTTAGAGAGTAAATGATGTTTTGCGTGTCCCCTGCCAAAATATACCGAAAGTACAGCCCAGGGCAAAATTGCATTTATGTTTAAAATTCTCATCGGTGGGAGACTGTGATTCTGCTGCAGGAATAGATTTAGCTCTGCCGTAGAATATGAATATTTTCTCACTATTCGGGTCAGGTATTCTGGAAAAAAAATTTAAAAGAGACTGCTCCTTTGGAGAAGAGTTGCAGCCAGCTAGTTGCCAGGCATACAACTCCCAGGAACATGGGTTGCCATCTCTTAGGAAGTTGCAGACAGGAAAAGGATTTTGAGGGAGAAAGGATGCTTCTCCACCGCCCCACTTCTGCCCTGCTGTAACAGCACAGCTGCGGGACTCTGAGGGGTTGGGGAGTTACAAGCTCCTCTGATGCCTCTAGATCAGCTTTTTCACTGAGTTTAGCAAATAATCATTGACATAAACTGATTTTTAAGGTATAAGAATACATTATTGACTCTAGAATTTGACAGGTGCAGTTCAGATTTAGTCTGCACAGAAGCCTGAGTTTCACAGAGCTTTTCATGATATATCTGTAAAGATACAGCTTGATTCTTTTTTGATTACTCCAGCAAAATTTCTGCTGATTTTAATCAGGAAAGGATTTGGCCCATACTCAAAACTCCCAGTATCTTTAATAACAGTAATACTGATGTTTCTGAATGTGGATAAAATTAAGAATGCAGAACACAGGATTAAGCTTTTCTTGCTGAATTTTGTTGCTTTTTTGGGCTCAAATCAGTCGAGGCTGAGATGAGGTGCATAGGTTCAGATTATATGGTAGGTCAATTATTAGCTTAATTCTTTAATATATATCCAAAACAAATCAGAGCTTGGATTCTGCTCCCATTGGAGCTACCAGCTGAACTTGAGCAATCATAGAATTTTAAAATGGCTTTCCTATAGCATCATTTTGAAGGCATGCACTGGAACTGCATTTGTTGGTGTAGCGTATTAGATGCAGGCTGGGGTTTTATTCTGAAAACACAACAGCACATAGCTGTGCTGTCCCATCTCCGTGTTGGGGACACCTGCTGTCACCTCTGTGCTCACAGCCCAGCCAGGCAGCTCTGCAGGTAAATCTTTACCTTATCAGCACCATGCTCAGGACTGCGAGAACAAAAGGGCAGACACGGTGTCTGAGGGCTGAACCTGTGCTCCTGCAACTTGGCCTGTTTTAACACCGGAAAACTGATGACTGGGGTTGGTTTTTGAATGTGCTGTGTGCTGTAGTCAGTAGTTTAGGGGAAATGCTGAATCTACTGACATACCGTGATTCCTCCGGTGAAAAAATCCCTCCTGTGGGAAAAAAAATCTGGAAATACTTAAAAAGTCTGTTTGGTACTTGTTTAAGAAAACAGACTAGAGACCATCCCAGTATGGCAACGAGGGAAAGGTGTAGCTGAGACACAGGGACTCAATCAATATCTGTTGTTTGCAGTGTGCACTTCTTGAGCAAGAATCTTTTTTTATTTCGTCATCCTTTTTTGTGAGGCTGAGCACTCATAAAGACAACCAACAACCCAGCCCCAATATTTGGTCATATACATATATTTTTCTGAGATATAATGTGTGTGTATAAGGATAAATATTGCACTATTTTATTTGAATAAAACATTTTTTAAAATTACTTTATTAATTTAAAACATGCTTTTGAAAGATAACCAAATGCACACCCTCAATTTTACTCCGTGTTACTGAGGGTGTCTGAGAAAAGCCCAAAAGTATTAAATATGCTCTCTGTTCAGACAGGCAGAACATTCATGTAAGGACATTTCTGTCTCTGCAGACTGAGACATAATCAGCAATTCTTTTTTATTGACCAAGGTTCAATCACCTGCAGTAGCTGAGACGGAAATAGCAACAAAGTTGTAAGAAACACAGAGCTGGTGTAAAGATCTAGAGAGGTCTGACCTGCTGATATGGGTTTAATATACAAATATTATGTATATTTATATTTATATTTATATATATGTATATATAACTTCAGATGTTACAGGTATATAATAGCTGTACAGGCCATTGCAAATGTAATTCTACAAATTCATACCTAAGAAAATACATTCTTCTGTACAAAGTCCTAACTTGTGCTGGTATTAATTCAACAGTTCTCATGTTAACATGAAAATGACACTTTGTAAAAGGGTCTTTGGCAATTTCAGTAAATTCTGAGTGGAAAAAGGTGGAAATTACCTTTTAGCATTGTTTTACTGATTGGCCGTGCTGCCTTTCTACAGACCTGATCCTGAAGCCTTTGCACAGGCAAAACTCTAACAGAGCAGGAGTCATATACTTGGATTAGGATTTACGACTGCAATTAAGGACAATTCATCTAAATCAGCTCTGGCATCTGAGACTTTTTCCCAGTCCTCAAACAGGATAAGTGTGGTGGCTGTGGAGAAGCACATGCCAGGATTCATCCCTTATTTAATAGGATGGACATGGAAAGAACTTCAGGGGTTCTGGAATGGAATGGAATTAGAATAGAAATAGAAATAGAAATAGAAATAGAAATAGAATAGAATAGAATAGAATAGAATAGAATAGAATAGAATAGGGATTGGGAAAGCCAGGATACCCCCACTGAGTGACTAGGACTTTTTCCATCCAAGGTTTGTTTTGTGGTTGAATACAACCAGCTTGGTGGGCATATTTGCAATTCTCACTATTCCTTGCTTTTCAGCTCAGGTATTCCACTGAAGACTGTTCCTTTGAGGAGGAGATTCGCCCAGACGGCTACAACGTGTATCGATCCAAAAAACACGGAATATCAGTGTCTTTGAGCAGTGCCAAACAAAGACAGCAGTTCAAGGGAAAAGATTTCCTTCCCCTGTCTCACTTCTTGCCCATGATCAACACTGTGCCCATGGAGTCAGCAGACTTTGGTGAATATGGTGATTACAGCCAGGCCTTTGAGCCAGAGGCGTTCTCCTCGCCCCTGGAGACGGACAGCATGGACCCCTTTGGCATCGCCTCCAAACTGTCCCCAGTGAAGAGCCCCAGCTTCCAGAACTGACTGTGCTCCCACACGTGTTTTCACAGAAATATTGAAGAGTACTGCAGGGTTTGTAGCTTTCTGTGTAGTGATATTTGAGAACTTTTTTGTGTGTTTGAGTATGGAGCCAGCCTCATCCTTGTTGTACCTGTAAGAGATGAGTGCCACTAGGCTGTTTTGTAGTCTAAAAGAATTTCCTATCCATAGTTTTGTTTGGAAAAGGAGGATTAAATATGAAAAGTTTAGCAACCTTATCAGAATTCCTCCATAGGTGGTGATAAAATAACTGTAATTTTTCTATGCCAGCTTCACTTCCACATATATTAACCTGTTATAGCTGCTCATATGAGCAAATGCAGAAAACCTTTTCCTCTTCAGAGACCACAAACTCAAACACTTGGACCAAAACTAGATGAAGGGAAACATCCTACCAGATGTAACTTGAGTTGATGCTGCTTCTTAAAAGGCTGCTAACAACATTCTGGGAAAAACTTTCTATGGAAAGCATACTACTGAAAAAACAAACCTGCTTGTATATTGTGCTTTTTCTTCCCTTAGAAAGTAGGAAAAGAAAGGGAAAAGTTTCTCCCTTTACTGCTAAGAAATACTCTGGGAAGCTTGATTGTTGATTTCTTTTGTAGGCTAAATTATGTTCTCTGTGGCATCAGAATCATCCAGGAGAGAGTTCTCATCAGAATCAGTGAGGATTCAGTGTGTTGTTGGAAAGGTGCCCAGGGATAGAATTGATGTTCATCAGGTAGGGAATGAGCAGCTCAAATGAATGTTTAAATGAAGATTCTGTTGTATATAAGCATGTATATGTCATTAGAAAACAGAGAAAAACACTGAGAACGGATGTATAGGTCAAATCAGTTGTAAAATAGGTTTTTGTGTTTAACCTTTAACCACCAGGAATTTTTTCAAGTCACTTCCAGGCTTGATTCAGCATCCATGGGAATCAGTGGCGAGATGGTTTAGTGAGTTAAAAGCTGCAGAACTGGGTCAGGATTCCCCTTGCAAGAAGAGATTGTGAGTACCTCTGGCCAAGTTCTGATGTCTTCAAGTTCTGTTCTCCCTCTGAAAAGATTCAATGACTGGATAACCAAGGTGAAGGCAAAGGAAAAAAAAAATTAAAAAAGAAAAAAAAAAAAAGGAAGAAAAAAAGAAAAAAGCTCTACTGGAAATACTGGTGTTCTTCTGACCTAGCACTTCATTGCCAATGCAATATTTATAATTAATTTATTGAATACGTACATCTGTTTATTTTGTTACTGTTATTTATGCTCAAAATTCTATTTATATACTTCTGAAGGTGGGTTTTTTAGTTGTAACAAATCTTGTGAAGTTTTGTAATCAACAGAATTTTAGCCAACAGTAGCCAATTTTTAGCCAATTTTTAAATAGCCATAATTTTAGCCAATTTTTAAATTTCTGTGCATTATCATTAGTGTAATGTGTACATTTGCAATAAAAGAGAAAATCATCTTCAACACTGAAATCTGCTTGAATCTTCTGTCTGTCCCTAAATGCCATATCCACACATCTTTTAAATACCTCCAGAGATAGTGACTCAGCCACTCCTCTTGACAAAATAATCCTGTGGGTAGAAGGCTGCTCCCATTTAAAAATGGGAACCATTCTAACCAGCGCTGCCAGGGAGAAAAGTGGTGAGTTTTGCCTGAAAAAGATGTCAGTTTCTGGCAGGAAAAGAGCCCGAATGTTTCCATTTGGAAATGCTGTGAGACACAGGAACAGCAGATTTCTTGGTTGGCAAACACCTCCCATGGTGTTTTCCCATTCTCCTTAGTGCTGAGCTACTGCCACATATCTCGAGGGTTCCCACTCCTTGTGTGCTGGAAGAGGTAGTTCTGATTTTCAGGTTGTTTTATTCCAAAACTTTTCAGATTTCAGGGGGTTTCATTTCCAGTTTTGATCAGTCACTATATTTTCTTTTAACGCCTTTTAAAGCCTTTCTTTTTTAAAAAAACAACAGAAAATAAAATAAGAATGAACTTTTAAAGTTTGGACAAGAAAAGAAAAGTCACTTTTACTCTTCTGCTAAAAAAATTGCACAGATTTGACAGGAAACATGGCAAATAATGGAGTTTGGAGGGTACACAATTTAACTACCCAGTGAGGGATTTTTTAAGTGGGTGTAACATAGTGAATATTTCTCAAGAGTGCAAAGACAGGCAACCTTACATTTTGGCAACATCATCTTGAGCTCTCTTGTGACCCTATTTGCTGACACCTCTGGCTTACATTCTTCCACCAGCAGCACTATGATTTTTCCTGCAACAGCATGGTTAGAGGTTGGTTCAATATTTATTCAGACAGAGGGAAGAATGCCAGGAGCTAAATTAACCCACACCACTTCCTGGGGCACTTGAGTTTTCCTTGGAGTTTTCCCATCCCAGCTCTGACCAAACCTGGCTGTTTTGCTTATAAAATCTGACAAGATCTCGGCTTGAGGTGGGAGGATTGCTGGGAAGTGCTTCCCCTGCCCTCCGACACCTGACTCGGTCAGGAACCGGGTGTGCAAAACCTCCAGAGAGGACCTTTGGTTCTGTGGGAATGTAAACACCACCACCACCCGTCAGCACACCCCTGTCCCCTGCCCACCAGAGCTCCTCAAAGGCAGGAGGACAATGGCGGTGCTTTCATTTGCAAGAGCACATTTTACAGCCCTAAAACGTTTTTAAAGCTCAGGTGTCAAATGTCTCCTTGGGAAGTCTCAGCTGGAAGCTGTGATGTGCAAATACGAGTTGCTAGAGGAGCGGGGAGGCTGCAGCAAAGGAGATACTGAGCGTCTTCGTTTCCACTTGGAGGAAGTGTAAAAACCTATAAATCAATTCAAGGTCATAGTGTCCACTTTACCTCTGCTCAAATCACTGAAACCCTGTTGGTGGAAAATTTGGGGCCCACTCTTTCTGCTCTGCCAGCATACTTTTCAAATAAATGGGGAAGAACTTGATAAATTAAATAAAATTTCCCTTTTTTTCCTCAAAAATATACATATTCCAACGCCAGGGTGGCAGAGTGGTGGCCCAGAGAGTGATGGTGAATTGTGCTGCATCCAGCTGGCGGCCAGACACCAGTGGTGTCCCTCAGGGCTCTGTGCTGGGACCAGTTCTATTTAATATTTTTATAGACCTCATGGATGAGGGCATCGAGTCCTTCTTTAGTAAATTTGCAGATGACACTAAGCTGGGAGCTTGTGTTGATCTATTGGAAAGAAGGAAGGAGGGCCCTGCAGAGAGACTTAGATCGGTTGGATGGATGGGCAGAGTCCAACAGCATGAAGTTTAATTAGTCTAAGTGCCGAGTTCTCCATTTTGGCCACAGAAATTCCCTACAGTGTTACAAGCTGGGGATGGTGTGGCTGGACAGTGCCCAGGCAGAAAGGGACCTGGGGGTGCTGCTCGACAGCCGGCTGAACATGAGCCAGCAGTGTGCCCTGGGGGCCAAGAAGGTCATCCTGGCCTGGATCAGGAACAGCAGGAGCAGGGAGGTCATCCTTTCCCTGTACTCGGCACTGGTGAGGCCACACCCCGAGTGCTGTGCCCAGCTCTGGCCCCTCAGTTTGGGAAGGACGTTGAGACACTGGAGCACATCCAGAGGAGGCAATGGGGCTGGAGAGGGGCTGGGAACACAAACCCTGTGAGGAACAGCTGAGGGAGCTGGGAGTGTTCAGCCTGGAGAAAAGGAGACTCAGGGGTGACCTTATCACTCTCCACAGCTCCCTGAAAGGTGGCTGTGCTCAGGTGGGGTTGGTCTCTTTCTCCAGGCAGCAGCTGACAGAACCAGAGATCACAGTCTCAAGCTACATCAGGAGAGGTATAGGTTGGATATTAGGAATCAATTTTTCACTGAAAGAATAATAAAGTACTGGAATGCTCTTCCCAGGGAGGTGGTAGAATCACCATCTCTGGATGTGTTTAAAAAGACTGGATATGGCACTTGGTGCTATAGTCTAGTTGAGGTGTTAGGGCATAGGTTGGACTCGATCTTAGAGGTCTCTTCCAACCTCATTATTCTGTGATTCTGTGACCCAGAAACACATTTTCATTAAGTATCTGGAAAATAATAGTATAAGCTAACTTTAAAACACGTGCTTGTAAATGAGTGTAAATGTTTCCTTTGACCAGTGTTGATGTGTAACAATTGGTAAGTATTTTAATAGAGCAGCCTAGAACAGCACACTGCAGTTCTAGTTTGGGTGGGTATTAACACCAAAAATATTTATGTTTTAGAATCACAGCCTGGTTTGGGTTGGAAAGGTGTTTAAAGATTATAATTTCATTCCAGGGGCAGAGACACCTTTCCACGTTGCTCTGAACCCCATCCAACCTGGCCTTGGACACTTTCCAGGGATGGCACATCCACAGCTTCTCTGGGCAACCCAGGGCCGCACCACCCTCACAGGGAAAAATTGTGGGCATATGCACCAAAAATACACTTCTTGAAAGCCACAGATACCAATATTACGTGAGAGAGATGTGTAAAGTCTATCGTTCCATGACCAGAGACAGAAGCCGAGAGAGTGGCCTGAAGCTGTGTCAGGTTGGATTATCGGGAAAAGGCTCCTCGCCCACAGGGTGGCCGGGCACTGGACCACGCTCCGCACCAGGCAGTGGTCGCAGCTGGCGGAACTCAGGGAGCGTCCAGACAACGCTTTGAGCGACAGGGTGGGATTTCCGGGACGCGGGGGTGGGATTTTTGGAACACTGGGTGGGTTTTTTGGGACATGGGGCGGGATTTTTGGGACACGGAGGTTTCCCCGTGGACGGCCGGGGCCGGGATCTGCGGCGGCGCTCGGGTGCCCCCTGGTGGCCGTACGCCGTGGTGGCGTATGGGCGTGGCTTACCACGAGGGGGCGTGACCGGTGGCTGCGGACCACGCCTCCTCCCGCGCGCCGTCCGCTCCCGGCGTGCCTCGCGCCGCCATGGCCGACCTGTTCGATGGGATCGTGATGGCCGAGCACAGGTGAGGGGACACCGGGACCTGGAGCGGCCCCAGAGCGGCTTCTCGGCAGCGCGGGGCTGCCCTGGGCCTCTGCTTCCCTCTGGGAGCTGCCAGGCGAGCGTCAGGGAAAGGAGGGCGAGCGCTGAGCTCGAGGAGGAGGGCGGGGAAAGTTCGCCTCTCTGAGAGAGCGAGCGGCGCGGAGCGGCCTGAAGCTGGGTCGGGAGAGGTTTGGGTTGGACATCAGGGAACGGCTCTTCATCCAGAGGATGGCCGGGCGCTGGGACAGGCTGCCAAGGGAATTGATCTCAGCACAGAGTGGGACGGGCGCCGGCAGGCCGGGTTGGGGGGCTGAGACCAGCGGGGTGAGGGCCAGCAAGGCCAAGTGCCGGGTCCTGCCCTTGGGTCGCCTCAACCCTCTGCAGCGCTCCAGCATAGCGGGAGAGTTCCTGGAGAGCATCCCGGAGGGAAAGGGCCTGGGGGTGCTGGCCCAGAGCTGCTGAACACGAGCCTGGGTGTGAACAGGTAGCCAAGAAGGACAATGGCATCCTGGCATGTGTCAGCAGTAGTGTGGCCAGCAGGACCAGCGCAGTGACCATCCCCCTCTTCTGGGCACCGCCGCGGCCCCACCTTGAATTGTGGGGTCAGCTTTGGGTCCCACACTACAGGAAAGGCTTTGAGGTGCTGGAGTGTGTCCAGAGAAGGGAATTGAGCAGGGCAGGCTCTGGAGCACAAGTTGGGTGAGAAGTGGCTGAGGGAGCTGGGGGGGCTCAGCCTGGAGAAAAGGAGGCTCAGAGAGAACCTTCTCTCTCCCTACAACTCCCTGACAGGAGCCCACCATTTGGGGCCAGACTTTGCTCCCTGGTAACAAGTGACAAGAGAACAGGAGGTGGCCTCGAGCTGCACCAGAGGAGGTTTCAGTTGGACATAAGGAGGAATTTCTTAAAGGAAAAGGTTGCCAGGCCTTGGAAGGGGCTGCCCAGGGAGCTGTTGGAGTCACCATTTTCATCCAGTGTCCAAGGAGCTGCTGGATGTAGCACTCAGGGCTCTGGTCTGGTTGACACAGTGATGATCATTCAAAGGTTGGACTGGATGATCTCAGAGGTCTTTCCCAATCCAACCAAGCCTGTGATTCTGGAATTTAAATTGATTTTGTGTGGTATTTCTAAGCTTTGGAGGCGATGCACGTTTCTGTTGCCCGGGGCCACTGGTGTGCCGTGTGAGCTGGACAGGAGATTAACAAAGCTGTGATTCTGCACTCCCAGGTTCCACGGGCAGGGCTACCAGGAGGGGCTGGCAGGAGATTAACAAAGCTGTGATTCTGCACTCCCAGGTTCCACGGGCAGGGCTACCAGGAGGGGCTGGCAGAGGGCAGCCACGCTGGAATGGCTGAGGGCAGGAGGTACGGAGCACTCCGTGGAGCCAGGACCGGCTCGGAGGTAAACGGGGAGACTCTTCAGCACTGGAATCTTCTTGTTGTTACAAAATGACAGCCACACAGAAATTTTGAGACTGAGGCCTGCTGTGTTTTACTGCTCTGTGTGTGTCCAGGAGTTCCCATAAAACTGCTTTGAAGGTGCTGTTCTGAGCTGGAGAGTTCAGCAGATGCACTTGTGTTTTCTCAGCTTATTTGCTGTATGGAGCTTTGGTAATCTTTTTTCCCAAATTTATGGTTAAAGGCCCTCTTGTCCCCCAGTACCATCTGCTGTGGCCCAGCTTAGGGAAAGCATGGAATCTTGAGACATAAAGAGGTAGTTCTGTGTGTCTTGTGAGCTCTTTGTTAATTGTGATGCTGTGGGGGTTTGTGGCACTGTTCCTCTTCTGCACATGGAGCCAGCTCTGTGTGCTGGCACACCTGCATCAATAAGCATTCCTAGGAATTCAGGGGCTGGAGACTGGTAGGATGGCACCTCAGCTTGTCCCATATGCCCACTCCAGTTTGTCACAGCTACAGAATGAGAATGACAAACAGCAGTCTCCAGAGCTGGATGGTTTGTACAAAATGGTCCTGGGCAGACCATAAGAGAGAATTCCTGTTATCTCCTCATACTCTGAGAGGGAGGCAGGATTAGACACATCGAGTGAGAGGGTGGCTTGGGTAACCTTATACTTGCCAGCCTTTCCAGCTTGGAAACACATTTGTGTACCCAGGGTTTAGTTTCCTGAAGAGTGAGATACAGTGTAGTGCTTTATTTTTGTTCCACTGTCTATGCTCTGTTGTCCTTTGGGGTTTTTTCTTCCCCTTGTGACTCTGTTTAATTAATTTTAGATTGGTTGCTACCTTGGGTTTGCCCTGACGTGGCAGTGTCTGCTCCAGAAATGCACAGATGAAAAGAACAGGTGAGGTTAAAAAGGCTTAAAGTCATTTCACTGTGACTTCCATTCTTCTCTTCCTATCTTTTTTTTTCTGTCCCATTTCCCATTTTGATTAATCTGTCTGCCAGAATTGTCTTTTTGGTTGCATTTCTTTACTTTGCCCAGTTATGTAAAGTGTTTTTGTTGATTCTTGAATATTTTTGAGCTTTGGACTGGTAAGTTGAAATGGAAGCCTTAAATCTGTCAGTTGTGCTTAATTCCCAATTTGGAATAATTCCTAGTTTGGATAATTTCTTATTTAAGAATATTTGGATAATATTTAAGAATATAAATATCTTCTTACTTAAGAACACACCTGACAATGGGCTGAATGGGAGAAGTTGAATTAAAGAAGGATGGAGGCCTGGGTTTTGTGCTTTAGATTATTATATATCAGTATAATTTTTATATTGATGGATTGCAAAAACTCCTGTGTGAGGGTCATTGGGTTTTCTTTTGATTTGATTAATTTTGTTTTTTTCTAGAAAAAAGATAAGGGCTCTGGATTCGTTAATAGGGATGATTCAAAAATTCCCATATGAAGACCCCACTTATGATAAGCTGCAAGAAGATCTGGAAAAAATCAGAGGAAAATTTAAACAGGTTTGTAGGATTAAGTTGTAATTTTAGCACATAAGTTAATTTTTTAAGATACTTTGTTCCTAAAGCCACTCCAAAATTTTGTGAAGCAGTTATTGTTCCTATTCTGCAATCATAGCAAAATACTTGAAGTGAGATAAATTAAGTGAAAATCCTTGATAGTTGAAAATTTCCCAAGCAATAACAAATGCAAAATAAAGGAAAAAAATATTTAAAAAGCAATTTGGAAATAATCTTTGACAATTTGAATTACAAGTGGGACCAGAAGAAGAGGAATGGAGCAGTGGGGAGTTTTGTTGAACATTCTTCTTGAAAAACAGACCCTTTGAAACACTTCTGTGTATTCCTTTTTAGGTTTGTTCAATGCTAAATATTCAGTCTGATTTTAGAATTGATAATGAGAGATCTTCACTAACATTTTGAATGCAACAGATGAAGATAATCGTGGATGACCGAAGGAAAAAACCATTAAAAGAACAGATCTGGAAAAGTGTCTATCTACTTTTATATGAAAAAAAAATCTAAATAGTGAAGAGATGTTAAAGGGGAAGTGAAAAATCACTGGACTTGCAATATTATTTAACATTTATTATCTTCAAGTTTTATTTCGGATATTACACACGCTAGTGTGTAAATCTGTTAAATAGAAATATTTGTTTTAATTCTTTCCTAGTCTTTTACTGATAATTCCTCAAAAGGAAAATAAGCATTTGCACAGTTTCCTTGTTTAAAGGATGTCTATTACTTAAAAATCTGTGTATGCAGATCATTCAGTTTGCACAATGTGTACATGCTGTGGGTGAAGGAAAATAAAATCAATTTCCTGCAGGCTTTGCAGCAGGAAACATTTTTGTGGGGAGAAGATGGAATGACAGAGGATGTCAGAAAGCAGAGGAGAAGGATGAAGATACCTGCTCAGAATATGGAATTTGCACCTGGTTTTCCAATAGTTTTGCAGACTGGTAGGGGGAAGGGAGCAAACTGCACAAAATCTAATCCCTCCCTCACTCACCAGTTTAAATGGTGGGTGAGATAAACACGACTGCCAGGAGAGTTGTGATCCTCATTGTCTGTATTTATTAGTACCCCTTACACAGACCAGCTTTTTATGTGCCAGCCTTGAAAAGTGACCACTTCAGTCTCATTCCAAGTCAATGCATGCTGCCAGCTGCGTGTGTTTAACTGTGCTAGCTGAGAGGAGTACCTGGAACAGGCTTTGGCTTGGGCTGCTGGATGTCTTTGCCTTCCAGTAAGGAATTCCAGAATTCCAGCTTTTACCAGCTGTACCCTGTGTGTGTCTGGCTCTGCCTGCACGGCACGGTTCAGCCTTATGAAGACAGACTGAGGTTTTTGGTTTGTTTAACTGTTTTACACATGAATTTTGATACACACAGGCAGTGTCAGAGCCATCTAGTGGATATGTGGGATTGTAGGAGCTCACAAATATTTGTGTAGGTGAAGTGTATTAAAATAGTACAGAACATACACACTCATGATAATTCTAATTATGTGTAAATATTTGTGTAGGTGAAGTTGTGTTAAAATAGACAGTACAGAACATACACACTCATGATAATTCTAATTATGTGGAGAATATCTTTGCAAAGAAGTAACACTGAGGTAGGAATTAATTTTTACTTGTTTCCTCATTTGCAAAAATGTCTGTAAAAGCAAGGGCAGGGTTATGAGAGCTCTATTCTATTTGTTTAATAGAAGTGTGTGATATGTGAGTGACAAGCCAAGATGCTGCTCCAGAGATTATATCAAACACAGTTTTTTTTGTTCAGCTCAGGAGAGAAGGGGTCTTTGGCAGTCAGGTGGTGACTGTTATTTGGAAAATTGCTTTGGTGGCTAATTTTCTTGTATTGCTTTAGTTGTATTTTTAAAAAATAAAATTATAGTAAATTATTATATAAATACATGTGTATATGCTGAACTATAAATATTGTATCAACCAGGATTTCCAGGTGGGATATACCAAGTTTAGGGTTATCTATTAGGTCTTTAATTTTTTAATTAGGTCTTTAATTAAGTTTCATTTGTGTGGACACATTGATGGAGTGTCTTCTTCCATGAGTCTGTGTTTTTTTGAATATCTGCTGTTTCACACCTTGTGTGGGCCTGGTTTGGTTTATTAAATGAGGTACAGTTCAAAATTCGGTTGGATGTGCAGTTGTGTGCTTTCTTCAGTGCCATTTTTTTGTTTTCTGCAGTGATTTGTGGGGGTTTGTGTCACATTCAGTGCTGTGGCAGTGGAACATTCCCAGCATTCTGTGGAGGTGTTTTTATGCCTGATTTACAGCTGAGGTTTTGGGTATGTCTGATTTATAGCCCAGGTTACATCAAGAATATTCATTTGTCTTTGTCTTAGGGTCACAAAGATACTGAAAAATATGCAATCGTGTACATTATGATACTGCTTATTAATAAAGCAGGACATTGAGATTGCGACTTGGTACTGATTGTCCAAGAAGTTTGAAATTTTGCAGAAGTAAGGTTTAAGAATATATCTCTATACTCATTCACCTCCCCTACTTATAGCTCAGTAGTTATAGAGGAATGTTTGAAACATTTCACTCAGCAATTTCTGACTTGCCTGGGCTGTGTTCTAGCTTGTTTTGTCTCTTCGTGATCATCTCTCAGCTGAGCCTGTGGAATATGGAATTTTATTAGAAGGTGGATATACAGCTCATTACTGCTAGGCTGCTGAAGTCATGGCAGTCCAGAAGAGTTGTAATTTTCCTTTCTGCAATGTGTGATGAGTACAGGAAATAGTGAATTTTGAGGCATCAGCCGAGAGGTAAACTTTGAATACCATTCCCAAGCACAATTCTTGTTCTGTCTTCATTAAGCAACTTCCTTTCCATTTCTTGTCAGCTGTACTTAAGGTGATCCTTCAGTACAAATTCCAGCTTTGAGTGAATATCTATAATCGGCAGAAATGGGTGAAATAAATCAGAAAAAAAAAGAATCTGGGTGTGCAATTGTTTGCTTCAAAACCAATCCTGTAGAGGTACTCTGGCTCATTTGAATCCTGATCTGTTTATCTGAAACAAGGTTGTGGTAATTTCCATGTTAGATTAAATTTGGAATTTTAATTTTCCAGTAAATCAGTTTCAACATTTATATAAGTTTTGATTTTTGAAGAGATGCAAGAGAGAGTTTGAACCTGCCCTGTATTTATGAATGCTTATTTACACTTTGGCTGGAAATATAACTTCCTGCATTGGAATAAAGGGAAATCCATCTGTCAAAAGTCTGCCTGCACCCTAATATCCCACAGTGCTTTAGAGTAAGAACTTAATATTTCTGGTATTGTTTTCTGATTCTTTCTATTCTTGGTGCCTTCTGAATAGTGCCCTTTGCAACTTCTTACGACCATGGCTTCTGGTCTAATTGCAGTCTAAAACTTCAGCTTTCATAGTTTGGCAAGTAACCATGAAGATTCTCATTTTACAGTCTGCCAGAGTTGTTTTTTTAATGGATAAAGTTGTGACAGTACACATTCCCACAGAAGTGGATGTATCACCAGGGAAAAAGGGGATTTGGGAGGTGTGAGAGGAGTTCAGCAGGTTCCCAGTTGCAAGTTGTGGTGTCTGGGACTGATGTGTAAAGGCCAACTGGAACAAAGCACTGCTGAAGCACTTCAGTGTGTCCCAGGGTTTGGAAGTGCAGGACCAGCCTAGCCTGGGGTGATAATAAAAGTAATAATAAAAGCTCTGTGTGCTATTTTGTAAGCTTGCACAGTCAGTTCATTTGTAGCTAACCTGAATATCTCTTTGACCTTACACTGGGAATGCTCCCACCTTAGTTACTGGAGTGTTTATTCCCTAAGTGTGGTCATTAAATTTTTTCAGCATTTTTCATGCTAGAATTCTGTAGTACTACTTATGAAATGCTGCACTACTGTGTGGAAGTAGACATGGTCGCTAAGCTCATCTGAAATGTGGAAGAATGTTCCTAAATCCATGGAATATATGAAAAGTGAAAAAACCTCAGACATTATTTCACTTGATTCCAAAGCAGCTTGCTGCACAATGTTTTAAATTATTTTATCCTATTCTGTAACCATAACTAATTGAGCACTAGTGCAGCATTCTGCCTATCTGGTTTTGGGGAGACTTCTGAATAGGAATAAGAAATGGCATAAAACTTTTGCCTTGGAAAAATTAGAAAGCTACACAATTCAAGTTGTGCAGAATTTGTTAGGGTGACATCTGAAATAGTGGCCTCTTGTCTGATAGAATTTAACTGATACTTGTTCTTAATAAAATCATCAAGTTTTATTTTAGCAAAATGTTCAGCAGAAAGAACGTTGATTATTCAGTCCCTGCATCCTGACTGTGCATCAGACAGAATCAGCTCAGCATTTGCCACTGTTCCATTTCTGATTTTAACTCCCTATTTTGCTGCTTTATCTCAACACTTTTTAACTTTCAGCATCTTCAGGATTCTGGGGAATAATCAACACTATGTGGAATCTTTCTTGATAGTAGGAACTGTGAGTCAGCAACCCTTTAATTTTTTTAGTTGCAGCCATTGTTCCAGCAGCAAGCTTTGCTGCTATTGTCCACTGTTTGTCCAGCTCACGTTTACTGGACTGTGGGAACGGATTAGGGTTTCATGGCTTTTTTTTTCTTCTTGCATAAACTCTTGATCAAAGACATTCCTTGGATGACAAAACACTGTATACTGTGTCACACAGCCCTGACCAGACTGCACGAACAGTAGTTTAAAAACACATGCCTACATTGTTCTCTAAACTGGCCTGCTTTTTTTTTTTTTTTGCAATGTATGTGCAGACATTGAATTTTTGAGACCCCGTTTACCTCTGTTAAAAACACACACACATACAGAAGTTGTTGTTAATAAGCACTTGACAGTTTCTGAAATACAAGTTAAAAAGCAGATTACTCTGAGACTAAGAATAGACAGAAGAGAATGTCATTTCTTAGCAGAGCTAGGAGTTATATCTGCAGTGTATTTCCTTCCTGAGGAGACCTTGGTTGTGGGGCAGGTGGTCAAGTACACTGGAAACCTAAACCCACATGGATTATGGCATCATTTGATGTGCCACAGCCAGAACCCTTGAGTTGGGTAGAGAATGATTGGAGCACAGTTTGGGACTGCATTAACCTGCTTCACCATAAGTACATTGTTAGAACCACATTTTGAGAACCTGGCTTATTATAGTTTTATGTCTTGGTCTTCTTTAAGTTCTCTTATGCATTAAGAGGAGGAGAAATTTCAGAAAATTCCAGTAGCATCATTGTTCCTCAAATGAATGAGAAAGGAAAAAATGGTGTTAGCAAGCATGGAGACACTTTTTCGAGGAGCCTTGCCTTGTGATTTGCCTGAAATACTCCTTCAACAGAAACATGGAGGAAAGAGATTCCTGAAGACACGTTGAGCAGGTTTACAGAGGGTTTTAAAAACATGGGAGGGCTGATTTTGGTGGTGGGAAAGCTGTTTGCAAAGGATGTTCCACAAACACAAGGGTTTGCATTGTCTGGCTCTGCAACACTGTTGAGCACTGTCATGCAGAAGTGAAGGCAGATGAAACTTCTTTCACTGACATTGGAAAGTCATATCCATAAGGGAAGAACCCCTCTGATCCGTTGCAGTCCAAGGGTCTCCATGGAAAGAGAAACCTAAAAAAAATGTGGCTAACGGATGTGTTGTCTAAAAGGAATTAAATGGTCAGAGTTAGTGACTGAAATGGCTACAGAAATATTAAGTCAAACCCACAAAATAAATGTATTACATTTAGAAGAAATGATGTTTACTTATGAGTAAATAATTTATGATGCCTTCTGGAAATTTAACAGCACACATTGGCTGAAGCTTTGCTCTTCATATTTAAAATAGCCAAATGTAAAGAACTTTGGTCTGTGGATGTTCAGGGAGGAAAGAAAGCTGTTCAAAAAGAATTCCCTGTATTTGTACAATCTGGAGTGATACAATCTAATAAAGGGGAGAAATGAAACATCAAAAAGCTCAATTGCCCGTTGCAGACAGTTTGCCATCAGAGAGTGGCTCAGGACACCAGGTCACTGCCTGGGCTGGCTCAGGGGTGTTGTCACAGTGCCCTGCCGGTGCTTTCGTGGGCCTCGGGTGAGGATCTGCCCCTCTCAGCCCAGCCCCTTGGAGACTGTTGCTAATGCTACAAAATACATCTCAGCCACAAACAGCCACAAACGCGGTGGCTGTCAATGAGAGACCAGAATATGGCTTGTGAGGGAATTAAGCCATGTCACAGGGCTGCTGCCAGGTGGGATGGATGAAACAAAACCACTTGGCAACGTAAAATCTAAAATTTATTTGTTCAGCAGGGAAGGGTGAGTGGATGGCAATTTCCATTCTGTGATGCACATGCTACAAGCATGACTCAGAGCTCTAGACCTCTTTTCCCCACATGGATCCAGAGGAGGATTCCTTCTCTGGCCAGTCCATGTGTCAGGTCCTGCCTTGAAGCTTGGCCCCTGCATGTCACAATTCCTCCTTTGGTTCAGCGTGCCTGGTGCTGGTAGAGATCCACACCTGTCAATTCCCTGAAATATGAGACTTTTTAATAGCCCATCTTCACACAGGCAGAAAGGAGAACAGGTCTAGGTTGGGCTCTGCAGGTGCTATAGGATCAGCAAGGAACTGGTTTCATTCCTAATTCCTATTTCTGGTTTCATTTCTAAATGTTTATGACAATCAAAAAGCAAATGGGTAACTTTTGCCTTCCTTCTACATTTGGTCCTGCTTGGCCATAAAGAACAGAATCAGAAGTCTGGCAAATGTCCCATTGTCAGTGCAATCCCATTGACTAATTTGCAATCCCTTTCTCATCACTGGATTGGAATATGGTATGGGACTTAGAAACATGGGAATCTATGCTGGCCATGCCAAAGCAATTACTACGAGCAATTATATTTGTGGGATCATAAAAATACCTTGTTTGTCTGAAGAGATACATTTCTCATAAAATGATGCCAACAGGAATTCATTAAAATTCATTAAAATGCCATCATTTATAGCTTTACTGCCATTGTCCCATTGTAGGAATCTCAGCGTATGTAGTCCATGTGCATGGGTCATTCCTGTGAATCTTTTAAATACAACAGCTCCAACATTCTCTTTCTCCTCTATCTTACGGAGTTTTCTATCA